ACACACACACACACTCACACAGACACACACACACTCTCTCACACACACACACACACACACACACACACACACACAGGTTTTTAATTATACCTTTCTGGAGACTCTCCATTCATTTCTATGGGGAAAACTCTAATCCCAACATAACGACCTTAACCCCTACCCAACCCTAACTTCAACCATAAGTAACCAAACAAAATATGAGACTTTAATGAGATTTTTATTTTTTTGATTTGCATTCACAGATTAATTTCCAAGATTAGTTTCTCTTTGGGGAGACCGGAAAAATGTCCCCACAAAGTCAAAATAACAGGTTTTTATCACATTAAGGGGACATTTTGTCCCCACAATGTAATATATAAATTCCCAGACACACACACACACTAACACCCATACTTACAGGTAATTGGTGACGTTGGTGACCTCAGAGAAGGACGTTCTGCTGGCCATGGAAGGCAGAGATAGTCTGGCAGATGACAGCACATTACCACCCTGGACACACAGAGTAGCATATAATAACGAACATCTGCTCTCAGCACCATCTCTCCGTAAAAAGCCCTCTTATTCCAGCTAATTTCACCCAGTAGTGTAATACTATAGTAAGCCTAAGTGTTGAATGGTGTTAAACTGCTGAAATACTACACCATTGGGACTCCAGTATTATCAGCTTTGTGCAGATAATACTTCAATCCCTCTTTTATGTACACAAATATGTATATTTACTGCTTGTCCTGTCTCAGAATGGAGCCCTTGTCCACTGCCGATCGACACAGAAAAGACAGAAAGAGCGTCTCAAACCTATCTATGATTTAAAGCTTTTTAGATAGCCTGGCCCCTATCTATAACTCTGTTCTGTCTTAGTTCAAACTACTCGTTATCTTTCAGGGATGTTTTCCCAGAATTCCAGTATTTGCTTGAATATACTAGGGGCATAATTCAGCATTGTCTTCCAGCTTTGCAGGAATGTCAGCTTGGACTTCAATATATATATTTTTGGAGCGGCTCACAGGTGCTGCGGTAACAAAACAAAGAAAACATTCGGAAAGTGAAGACGGTTATACAAGGAGCTTTACCAAGTCCAAGGCAAACAAGAGATTCAGAGACATATTGGGGGGGGGGATGACAAGTTAAGTCTGGGACTAGACGTGTTCAATTTCATTATGTCAAGATGTATTCTCTATTACTATTGGTGTTTCACAAGATTTCTAACACAAATGAAATGTATCTGTGTAAAAGTTCACCTTGACCAGTTAATCATTTTATTTATAGCCATTTTTCTGCTGAATTTAATGCTTTATTCCTACTTTCTGTCGAGAAGGACCTTTTTCCACACTTCCTTCCTAACAGCAGTTTGCTGGGTGGTCTGTGGAAAGTTCGGGTCTATGAAGCACTTTATCTGCGCTAATATTAGCTGTCAGCCCCAACTCAGGAAAGCTCTGCAGCCCAAGGATGCAGGAAATGATATTTTTCAGGGATCCAGACTCATCAAAAAGCAACATTGTTAAAAATAGACTAATGGCCAAAATCCCCTACTGCTACAGGTCACTTCCTGTATCGTGCTTTTATTAACTTCGTTAAGAACATTAAGTGTCCAGTCTGACCGTATCACGTTGGCTAACGATGTTGGCTTGTGCCAGGCTGCTGATGAGGTCACTGCCCAGCCCCAGGGCACTGTTCTCACACCCTGCGCCCTCACTGCTGCAAATTCGCCACGGCCAATGTGGCAAAAGCGAGAGTAAGCGACTGCTGTCAAGGATACCGCTGTTTGTGGGCAGGCGCTGCTCTCTATTACAATAATAAAATGGAACGATCTAAAATGAGAAATAACGGAAATACAGAAAATGAGAAAGGCGTGGGGGGGAAAAGTAAAGGAAGTTTTAGAGAGAACAAAAATGAGGGAAGATAAAGAACACAGCCTGTTTGGTTTGCTAGAACGGTGTTTACGTAGGGAGGTCTGAGTGAGGGAGTAGCGACTACCTGCTAGTCAGACAGACTAGTGAGCCTTCCCATGTCCGACGGTCGCCAAAACACTTCCACACTACGCTCTGGCATCCATGTAATTCCCGCACCCAGTAGCGTCAGAAGGAGTTTATCACTGGGGGGGCTGAATTTGCGGCAGTGGCGGGGGGGTGCAATGTACATCCTGACATCGCAATGGGCACACGTGCAAAGGTGCGATGCCAGAAAGATTTAAAAATAATTTTAGAATAATAAAGTTTTTATCGTTTAAAATAAGACTAATACTGCTTAGGGTACAGTTTCACCAAAAAAAAAATCACTGATTCATATGATAAAATGGTTTTGTCTGATATAGCATTACAGTCTTCCTATATGTTTCATCCTCGTGCTCCACATGCACAGCAAATTAGCCTCAGTAACGCATGGATTTATAATGAAAGGTAAGGAACACGCTCATTTATTAATTTATTTATTTATTGGGGGGGGGGGGGTGTCCCCATGTCCCCCCATTTCCGACACCCATGCCTGCACCTCACCTTCACCTTCAAAGCTGCACGCTGGCCCAGCCCGGCCTAGCTGAACAATTCCATCAGCCCTCACTGCATTAGGCCACGACACCCAGACTCCCATAACAGAATCTGCGGTTTTTAAATGATTTTTTTGTGGAACGCTGATAACTTGAACTTAAATGAGACATAATCTGTCGTCTCCAAAGTTAACAGTTATTCGCATCCTGCCACACAAACAGCCCTCAGATACGATATCGGCAATACTGCTACATTAAGAAACTGGAACTTCAGCCGAAGGCATCTACTGTATGTCTGCATACAAAAGAGTAAAGAAACTCTTATCTGTAACCTTTCTGAACTATGCAAAGGTCTACAGACTCAGTTTCTGCCATGAATCGCAGACCTCAATACGTCAGGAACAGCTGTTTTTAGATTAGAAACTGCGACCTGAGCAAATGGGGACGAATGCAAGCTGAGCAGAGCTCCTATGTGTCGTTAATTGGCAATATGTTTGCAAAATGCACCACCTAGTGGGCACTTTTGAATACTGTGTGGGTTTCATATTTGTAGGATGGCACGGTGTGGCAGGATATCGTGCAGCATGCCATCAGAAGCGGAAGGGTTGGCAGCACCTGATCAATGACGCTGATGGCGTCCCGAATGTTGATCTTCTGATACACCTCCCAGAGCTCGCCCTTGTGATACACAGACTTCCGCATCAGCAGCTTACTTAGGTAGTTCTTGTCAAACTGTTCCCACCTATACGGCACATAAAGATGGGGATACCGTTGTAGGACTACCCTCTGCACAAACACTGGGAGTTTAAAAAAAAAAAGCTTGAAAGGTTCCTGCTGGGTGTGGGCACCAATAAAACAGGATTAGCAGAAACAATGAGTTAGCATTAGCCCAAAAAATAAATGTAATGCTTAGCAGTCAGTCAATATGTTAGCATTAGCAGAAGCAAAATGCTAATATTAGCAGCTAATGAAATAGCATGGGGTACCAACTTGTCTCTCCAGTGGTGATAGCCATTGAGTCCAGCAATGTCCTCCACCGCAGCCAGGATGTGGTCAAAGGCCTTATGCGAGAGAGCACACTGGGTCAATGAAAGGGAAGGACATCGCAAGAGCAGACTTTCTGAGCGAGAAGATTAGCCCGTTTATGGGATTGCAACAGCTTTGTGAAAGCAATAAGATGCGCTTGCATCCTTAATGTTATGCCGCAGTTCCAGTTTGGCCTTTGTTATCTGATAGCGGCATCACAGCCATTGGCGCGATTGGTCAATTTGTAGATTTACCTGCGGGGGCCAAACAGCTAACGAGCCACTGGCTCGTACCTTGCATGGGGGGACCCTGCTGTGGCCACTGATCTCAGAATTACGGTTTAGCCAGGTGGTTGCCCAAGTCATCAGGGAGGAACTGATGGCAGCTGTGTCCGGCCCCCCTTCCCCGCTCAGACAGATTGAGTGCAAGTGGACGGGGGGCATTCTGAGGCCGCAGCGAGACACAGCTTCAGGCCCTCGGTAACTTCCGCAGCAGCCGTCGCAGGGATGAGTCTGACTTGGAGGCAAACAGCCCGCTAGCCCATCAGCCTTGGTGATTTATTTATACGACTTGGACAGGAGTGACGCTGTATTCTTCACGTAGCTGGCTGCCAGTGTCTAAAAATACACTTGGCTTTCTATAGAGATCACCTCAGCAAGGTCACCGTTTCCAGCCTTGTTTCACCCAAACACCCGAGTAATCGCACATGTAGTGACTCATACTGACTAATACTAATGAAGAGCGGATGGTTAATTACACGACAGTATATACACAGTATAACTCATCAAACCACTTGCCAAAGCTGAAACATTCATGTATCTTTAAGTATTTATTGTCATACAAGAATCAGAGTATTCATAGTTTATTAGTATTAACATTAATAGTAACCAAGGGGTGCAGCTACAGGTAGACGCCCAACCCAAATGGATCACCTGGCCACCCAACACAGACGACAACTTTTACCATCAACATCCACCAAGGCCTCTGAGACAATTCAAACACTGGTGTTCACCCAGGGGACCCCTCAGGACCTCTGACACAGTTTAGGCACAGGTGACCACCTGACAAACCGAAATGTTCACCCCAAAATGGCATCCTGGTAAAGCCAATATAATAACCCACCGATTGACGATGTACAGTATGAAAATGGCCTTAAACCCTGGTGGGCACTAGCTTGTGGAAGGTTGGTTTTGGATGGCAATGGGGTGATTGACAGAAAGACAGGACAGCAGGGATGGGAAAGCGGCCTAGCTTTCTACGACACCCACCCTCTCGTGGATCTCCTCGTTGATGGTGGGCTTGCTGTTGGTGCTGCGGGGAACTTTCAACCACTTGACCAGCGGCTTGATGGTCAGACCCTGGGTGCCAGAGAAGCGTCAGATACCCAGCCTGCTCTCAGGCTAACAGCGGTCACACGTGTGCGTGACCATGCCCACTTATGTCTTTGATCATCAGATAAACACAGATACAAGCGAGTTAAATAACGGAAATGTAAATTCCGTGGTATCCATTATACAAATCAAATGGGGAACAAGATAATTTCAACACAATACAGATGTGCTCCTGGTAAAAATGATGCAAACTGCAAACATATAACAAATATAACAAGAAGGCAGGATATTTCTAACCTGCTTTCAGACTGAAAATGTATGTATATTTATTGGTTTCAGCTGGCTAAACATCTGAAAACCCCAACAAGAACAGCATGGCCTGCTCAGCCATTTTACAGCCAGTGATTTCAACTAATTTATGTAAACTCTTCATTCAGTTATCCAGACCAAGGCTGAACATCTGCGATTCAGCTGACAGCAAGGACTCCAGTGATATGAACGAATGAGACAGAAGATTAGAACACTGCAGCATCAAGTTTATGTAGAGAGGATAAAAGACACACATAATGTTTTTGGGTTTTGTTGGGTAAAGAATACTGACCTCTATAACACTGTGAATAGGTTACAGACCCCCCTCATTTATCTCAAGATCCCAGTCTCTACTTCCCCTATGTGAGTGACAAAATCACCCAACTGCCTACTGTGTAGACCGCAAGTGCAAAGGGGGCTTGTGTCATGCACTGTCAATTCACTCTCCCCTGTTCCTGTGCACCCCCCCTCCACCCCCCCATGTCTTCCATTTGCCGTAATTACAGCCTAAGCGTCAGAGGTCATCCCTGCTGCCAGTTTGACATCTCTCAGAGCCACCGCAGAGCAGAGACAATAGCGGGACGGAACTAAACAAGCTGATTACAGAGCTCTTCACCAGACTGGGTCCTGCTGAAGGCCTGACCATCTTCTTGCAGAAAGAACAATCAACACAATGACTAATCTCAAATGGACATGAGTCACATAACCTTTAAGTTCACTCCATTCCATACATGTGTAACTCCACTGTATGGACCTAACTCACTAGCATATGGTCACTCAGGCTCACACAAGACCTGGCCGGTCACGTAAGCTTCTCCATAGTATACGAGGTGAATAAAATGTGGAAGTTCCTACCTGGAACATCACCGTGAAAAAGATCACCACAATCGTCGTGGCCACAAAGTAATCCTTGGCCTTCACCTTATGGCCGTCCAGCAGCACCACCAATGCAAATGCAACAGCGCCCCTCAGGCCACCGTACGACATCACCACTTGGTCGAGCTTATCCAGTGGGACCAGCCGAAACCAGTTCAGCACCCAGGTTTGCCCAATGACACCTACAAAAACAGCAGGACAGGTAGGACGGGTAACAGCTCCAAGCCTGAAACCTTTCTAATTTTGAAACCTATCCTACGTTTGTCTGAAGTTTCCACATCCACAGTCCTAAGACATGCAGTTATGCTAAATGGCCTCTCTAAATTACCCGTAGTGTGTGATTGTGTGCGTCTGGTCCAGTTCAGCTTTATGCCCATTGCTACCATAAAAAGCTCTAGGTACTGCCTAAACCTAACCCTAAACCTAACCAGAATAGGGTGTTTACTGGTGAACTGGGTCAATGTTTGAAATTTAACTTTCTCTCTCACTTTAAAAATATCATCCTAATTATAAATATTAAAACATATAAGTATTACTGAAAGCTCCAGAACTGAGCTAAAGTTAATAAACCCCTGAAGACCATTTACCTAAAGATTAATATTTTAATGCAAATGAAGGTACAATCATACTACCAACCTAAGGCTCTGAAGACAAAGATGAAGATGAGCGTGCAGGATACCAGGCCTGTATCCCAGGCCCACTTTGACTTGTCCACTGCGGAGATGCCCAGGAAGATGAAGATGATGGTCTCTGCGATGCTTGCCAGGGTCTTCATCGTGTACTTCACGGTGGTCCGAGACTTCTGGGAAATGTTGGCCTCCACATATTTGTTACACCCTATGCCGCAAAAAGTCATCCTGCCAAACAGAAGTTGGTCAGAAAGCGAACAAAATCAATATGCAAAAATCGAATGTCACAGACACCTCTGGCATTATTATGTCAAAAGCTACCATTCAGTCTGTAAATAATTTAGCATGTTAGCCCTATTCTCAATATGAAGGTATAACAATTTGTCCTCCTATGTAGTTCTATTTTTTGGTATTATCATTACATCATTATCAAGTTCCTTTCATAAATTAGATAACGATATTTACACCCAACACCTGAAGGATAAGCATATTTTCAGATTACACATATTTACATGGAGAACAAAGACAGCTACCTGCCCTATCTGTTATGATAGTGCATTATCCCAGACATGACGCATTGAATGGAGAAAGAGTGAGCTCCGTACTATAAGCTGGACATAAACCTAATCGTGCAACGTGAAGCTCAAATGGAGAAGCAGTAGAAAAAGGGTGTGATGGCTGGATGCATGGACACAGGTGGGTGCAGATACCCACTCACACAATGCTCTATCTGGAACTGGGTAGTGTAAACACAGATAAGGATACACATTGTACAAAACTGACAACTCCATGCTAAGCTAAATGCAGGCAGGTCAATAGGTTGTTATGGCTACGGCACACATGCCCAGAAATTTAACTTCTGGAGCGAAGGCAAAAAACGTAATAATAACACCAGATGTGCCATTTTTTGTGTAAATCCAATAATGCTTCAGGCATTAGGTATCATTTGCTAATGTGTATAACAAAGAGTCTGCATCTACCTGATGACTGTTACACATAATGACCAGAAGGAGGCACTCTTGTTCAATATTCTTCAGATAATGCACAGAGGAACGTCACATGAAAACAATACTGCATTTAATATCTTCACCATTTTGCTCGATAATATGCAATAAATGCTACACGAATCTTGCTTTTTGGTTCATAAAATGTGGAAAATACAAGCTGCACATAACATAAGCAATACCAGATCCATACTGTCAGACACACATAATATGTTTGTATACACAGACACATGCATAAATAAATAATATCGTTCAAATGCTTTTATCTTCAGACATGCCAGAATATCATGTTCAAGTAAACTGATGAAACGCAAGAAGATGCAGGGAGATCGATACAGTATTAGGCTGTTGCAGAATGTGGGCGGCTGCAACAACATTTCATTTTCCTCCCAAGCACAGCCTCAGCATCTACAAAAATATTCTCACACCGACTAGTAAGAAACAGCAGATCCCACTCGTGAAGGCACATCGTAAAGACATAACGACGTCCTTGTTCAGGCACCATCGGAGCACCGCTTTATGGCGCTAACAGAAGCGAGGGGTTTAGCTTTTCCTGGCTGCCAGCTCGGGGCTTTTTGGAAGCAGATGGTTTTACTCTCATGGTTCGGCGTCGAACAGCTCTGGAGCAGCCTGTGGACTCACTGCAGCCATAGAATCGCCTGTTTATTGAGCTGGATGGCTCAGTGTACAGCATTGTTGCCCCACGGGCACCGGGGTTGTCGGTTCAAATCATACCCCGGTGTTTATATCACTCCAAATATTCAGCCATGCTGTTTGAGAAATTCTAGAACAACTGTATGAGAGTAGATAACATGCTTCCTGTAATGCACTCTAGTTCATTTAGCTATAATCAAATAACTCTTTATTGGAAGTGGTTATGTTGGCTACAGATATATAAAGCTCCTTAAACAGCTTAAAATCTTTTTCTGTTTTAAAGAAAAAAACACTGTTTAAAAATTAAGTAGCCTCCTTGAAGATACAGTAACAGACCTCTTCCTATTCCATCCATCCATCCATCCATCTTCTACCGCTTTCCTATCCCTGGTTCTCTTCAATCCTCATAGTACCTGCTATCCACTGCTTCAGCTACTAGGCATCTGAGTCCTCATATCTTGTGCCTCTCATGGCCCCTCCCACCAGCAAGGAGCACCGTGGCTACTCACGACAGTATGGCGGAAAGGGAGAAGAGCTCGGCCGTCAGGTAGGCCAGGTACACCAGCAGGAAGATGAAGAGCGGCTCGATGATGCGCACCCGCTTGGTGAAGCGTGTGACGAAGGCCAGCAACACGGCAAAGATGAGGCCCACCAGGGTGCCCCCGACATTGACGATAAGGAAGGAGGCTGCAGTACCAGGTCCGGTCCAGCAGGGGGAGCGACACCAGGAAGAGAGGAAAATCATCACTCAAATAACGACATACCAGCATCCATCCATCACCTTTTGCGGGTCCAGTGAGCACAGCTGTGTCCTCATCTGGACTACAGAGGAACTGTAATGTAGCAGTGACATGTTCATGCAAGCCACATCTGCCCCACAAAAACCTCTCTCACCTGCGACCCTATTCAATGGTTAACTTTTAAAGTAATTTGGTGGCTTTCTTTGGACTAACACAACGTCAATGTTATCTAAAAAGCTAAAAGTGTGACACATCCCTTATCAGAACGACAACGTCCTTGAGGCCGTCGGGAGCCTTTCGGAGCACGAGAGCTGTGCCTCATCTCACTTACCCACTCCTTTAAAATAATCAGCTGTCTGCACATTCCCAGGTCCTACCTCCACAAAGGAGATGAAAACCTTGTACAGCACCTGCAGAAAAAAAATCCATTTTCATTTTACCTTTCCCTGGTATATAGGTGAGTCCACAAGTTATCTGCTAGCAGTATGGAGAAATTTTCCACATGATGCAGCACATAATTGATAGCCAGCCCAGGAATTTGAACTCATAACCTTCCAGATGCAGGCACTGAGCTACACACCACTGTGTAACGTACACATAAACAATTATACCACAAAAAGCAATTAAACTTTTGATCTGGACTCCGGGAGTCTTTCCAGTTGTGGCTTGAGGATTTACATTACTGCTGCGTTCCATTTACCTCAGGGGTTGGAAGTCAGAGCTGAAAATGACGTCACATCCGAGTCAACTGTGTTCCGGTACAACAAGTCAGAAAGCCATTTAGCAATACCAGGGCCCTGCTTCAAAAAACAGGATTTCTTCCTCAGCTGGATAACTTGCCAGATTTAAGGTACTGTAGTTTAAATGGCCATTATCTTTGTTTACGTTTAACCCAGACTACCTAAAATCCAACAAGTTATCCGGTTAAGCAAGAAATCCTCCTCTCCTAAACAAGCCCCAGTTCTAGCCAGGTTCATTGTTAGCCGTTGTTAGCAATACCAGCTAATCGTCCCTTATCACGTCGGCAGCCCAGTTGTCCTCTTCCGTAAATTTCGCCGTTGGGATATTTCACGAATTTTCTGGGGCAGCCAATGGGTTTGCATCCATTAAGAACCAGACCACGTTTCCCTGCCACAATTCCAATAGGGATCGCTTGTAGCCCACCCCTGGGTCACAGACCAGCGGGTGATAAAGCCATCACTAGATCTATCAAGACAATATCCAGTGGAACCAGGTGGTTCAAACATCCTGCAGGAACAAAAATCCACAGACACTCTCTAGGTTTGCCAAACCCAAAAGATGAGGGGTTGTAAATCCAATCCAAACTGTTCCATTAATCAGGAACCCTGCAGAGATACCCTCTGCCAGACTCTGCATGAAATGAGCAAACTCATCCTCTGTGAGCACATAGAGGTGGAGCTTTTGATCTAAAACTCAAAGGGGCTCAAGAGGAGACACAGCTAATTTCACTATCTAATTGAGTGCGGTGTCTTAATCAAAGGGAGACAAACCCATATATAAAACTGAAAAATCCCCATGCAGTTGTTTCCTGTCGGCTGTAAGCGCTGACTTGATAGAGCTGGATTTTTAGTTTCTGTCATGTCCCTTGGAAAAAGTATGTTACAGTAGATGAGTGCCTAATAGTTATTTAACAAGTGTCTATAGTTCAAGATTTAATATTAGGACTTACCAACATTACCAACATTCCTTGCTACTGGTTCCCGCCAAAAGTTGTGGTGCCTATACACATTTTTAGCCAATCTGGTGCTGTTTAATTGACAGACAGAAAGCCAATCAGGAGTTGAGTTAGGTGGCGCGATCCCTAATAAGTAATTGAAGTTGATCTTTGGGATTGTGTGTTTATTATTTATTTATTTATTATTCTATACTATTCAAGGGTAAACGGGAAATAAAAGTGAAGGTGTGTTGAGTTTCCAAACATAGTCAGTTTCTCCGTGCATTTTATTCAGAAAAGGTTTATAATTTAGACAACTTGTATCCTGGGGAAATATGTAGCATACTACATTGTTTGGTGGTATATTATTCTTCCAGTGGAGGCACCGTGCTAATTGGCTTATCAGAACACTGGTTTGGTGAACAGAAAATCCAGTCAGCTCAACATCATCAGCTGGGAACCCAAGATCCTGTTTAATAATAAGCTTTGGGATATTGTAGTTCTGTCTTACATTACGCCTTCAAGCTAATGTATCCTGGGTCCTGTAGCTTGACTCTGCTGGTCGGAGCCTGCCTGTTGCTACGAGGGGGTTACATGCTAAACATCACAATAACAATAACCCAATTTTATCTGGCCAAAATTTAAAGAAACACCAACTTTTTTAAGGTTAAACGAGTGTTTCCTTGGATGCCTGTTTCTGGGTTAGTTAGGGAGTTAATGTGCCGTCTTTTATATTCAGTGTAGAAAAGTTTGTATGTCACCTGCAATTTGTACATTTAGTTAGATGTGAGTTTGTGTTTTGTTGTTTTGGCAAAATCCATGTCCGAGCTCTCAGTTTGTGTACGACTGACGGCTATAAACCGGACTCACAGCAAAATGAGTTTCTCTTGGTCATGACTGAACATAACTGCACAATCATTACATAACGGTTCAACCCAAGACTGAAGCATAACTTTTTATGCAGGAAGCACAGTTGTCCTTGGCATTTGCTCCAGTGAGAGCTCTTATCATAAACGTCTGAGTAATTACGAATGGTTTTTTTATGCAGATACATTTCAATACCTAAATACTGGCTAAATATTAGCCAACCAATATATCGGTCAAGTCTAACCAAAAATGCTTATTTATCTCGTCTCTTCAGGCAGATTAGGCTTGAACACTTAACTGCTGATACCCTGTGTTACTTGAAAGAAAACCAGTGCTAAAGACAATCATTTCCTGACGTGACTTAACTTAACCACCGAAAAAAACAAATCAAGCTGTGCACATGGTCTTTTAACGGAAACACTCATCTGAGCTTTGAATGACTGTTGCAAACCTTAAACGAGCAAACATAGCATTTTACACGGAATGCATGGATGTAACCTCATGACACGAACCACCTGGAACCCAGCAGAAGCTGCAAGGGTGTTCAAGTCTTTGTCTGTGTGTGAGATGTTTCTGCTGAGTAAGCTCAGTGCAAGGGCAACTCTAACTTGCACGATGTCTAACTGCACTAACTTTGAAAATGAGAAATTAGTAATATGCAGCATTAAAACATCTGGGTATGACTGTCAGATACTGAGTACTGGTCTGGCAGGCCAAGCTCCCTTGCATATAACCTCAGAAGGTATTTGGGTCATCTTCCACAAAGGCCTAGCTTCACTGTCAGCTGACAGGCCACATCACTTCCTAGTCATTTACACCCATGAAATAACCTGGGTCTTGGTTTTCACACAGCACCTCCTAGAGGCCACACTTGTATCTCAAAGCTGTTGCCAGCCATAAACCATCTGGAAGTGAAAGAGAATCATAACTCAAAATGGGGTGGGAGTAAATCGACACGGCAGAAACTGAGACAATAAGCTAAGTGACGCTGGTGAAATCTGAGGATTTCTGTACTTGTATTCCAATTAATCCTGTTAAAAGGGCCCTTGCAACCCAGGAGGGTCCAAAGTTTACCGCTAATCCCAGTTTCTCGGTGTGCAGGGAGCAGTGAAAGGAAGCATGATAAGGAAAGGTTCAGCGAAATTCACTGGGGCTGGAGACATGTTGCTGTGTAACCAACAAAGTTCTCTCAGGGTGACACGCTTGGTATGTTCCTGACGATGTAGACGGCTGTGGCCATGAGAATGGCGAGATCACATTTCGGCCTGCAGATAATGCCTGGCTTATGAGAGGTCGGGCAAACAAAAGGACCTTGTTGCTGTGATTTAATTCGGCCTTGCATTAATAACGGCTGTGGGGGCCATTAAGGCCAGCGGAGGCAGCCGTGCAGCACGAGGAAGAGGATGACCGCATGGGCTGCGCGGCTGCGCTGCAGAAGCCGTCACCCCAAGCGATTTTACACAGCTGGGTGCATCGCTGAAGCTACTTAAGTTACACGCTGCAATATCAGCCTCCATACGGAGCTGTCTGCAGCCCAGCACGACTGAGGCGTGTTACAGATGCAGTGTAGCAGGCCTGGTTCGGAAGCTTGTGTTTCGGGTTTCTTCGAGGCAGAGAGCCCCGTGGCGCCGCGGCGTCTCTCGACGGCGGCAGGCAATGCTGGCAAAGTTAGTCATCGCCACTCACGGAGGGTGTGTGGGCTGATAGTTGGTACTGCCAATGCAGTCCCCTGTGCTTTCTGTCACGGGGCTCGAAGGAAGGAGCACAGGAAGCCAGTCTATGACCAATGCCTTCAGTTGAACCAGGGGGGGCCCAGGACGGGGTTGATGGGAATTCTCCTGATACCTGGCATCAGAACAGGGAGGTGCGATTGGATCTGCTGGGGCGAGGATGGAGGCACGGACTCACCACAGTGACGGCATCGTTGAGCAGAGACTCCCCGAAAACGATAATAAAGAGCGTCTCGTTGACGTGGACCTCTTCGAACACGGCCAGGACCGCCACAGGGTCCACCGCCGAGATGAGTGCACCAAACAGCAGGAACTCCATCATGCCACCCTCCACTTTTTCATCTGTACATATTCCCACCCCCCAGGAAACAGGAAGCGAATGTCAGAGAGGGAGAGAGAGCGCTACCCTTATGGCAAGGATGAGACGTCATTTAAGGTGCAACATCCACAGTGGCTCTGTTTTTTCCAGCACACACAACAGCCTATTTGGGCTGCCTCACTCCCCAGGGGGTGCCGCTGCCCCACACATCCCCGGCATGACTCACCGATAATACCAGCCAGCTTCATGCCATAGAGGGAGAACCCCGTGCAAAAAGCGTTCCAGAGGGTGCCCACCACAGCGTACACCAGGATGGTGCCCAAGTTGTCGAAGAAGAGCCGGCTGGGCATGAAGTAGCCAGCATCCCCAACGATGGTGGGCAACAGGAAGAGGAAGAACAGGCCAGGCTCCAGCTGGTACAGTTGCTTCTTGCTCGCAATGAGCACGACCCCGCCCAGAACCAGGCCCAGAAGGATGAGCAAGCAGCTTTCCGGAACGACAGTGGTGACACGCTGGGAGAAGTGGAACACTGTTGGTGGGGGGTTGAAAGGGGACAGTTACTACCAATCATCAAAATAACCCAGAAGATACCTTTCAGTTACTGAACCATGTACCTGACCAGCTTAGCATAATAGCTTTATCTGGAGTATGGAAACCCACCGAGACGTGCACGTATGTAGCTAATTTTAATCTACTTCAGCACACCGTCCTGCATGCTGCCAATTCACCCTCTCCCCCTCCTGCACCAGATGCAGTTATCTTCTCAAACATCACAGATTCATGCCCACACCCAATTTTATCTCTCTAAGTTGGTGCAAAAATCAAATAGGTGTGAGTCCTTTCTTATGATCACTGAAGAGCATTAAGGTAAGAAGCAGCTGGCACAGAATGGTGATGGACATACAAACTGGAAATGTTATCAAGGACGCAACTTTGTGGGATCATAGGACCACTTGAATCATTAAAAAAAAAAGGATGTTTACTGTCCACTTGTGGAAGTGCAGCAACCGCACACAGACAAGAGTATAAACAGGAAGTCATGCACAGGGGTTGCCAAGCAGCACAGCAGAACACTGACTGAACAATTGGCAAGGCTGGATCCTCGGCGCTTCATACTGTCACATGACACTCTTCCTGCCCAATCACCTGTCCCCAAAGGCATGGTGCCGGCCCGCTTCTTGGCCTAAAAACCCACTGGTGCCACACCCAGTTCTAGCGACAAGAATGGCAGAGCCTAATAGATCTAGCAGACTGCACTGAGTGGGGAGTAAAGATGGCTGCCATAAGACTTTGGTCGGCGTTAACGATCCATTCCAGAAATAAAAAGGGATTTGTTTTCTGGATGCTGGCAACTAACAGTGTGCATATATATATATATTTTTAAAGTGTTATCTGGTCTGTACTTCTCCTGCTCCAGTGTGTCCTGAGTGGATTTTACAGCCCGTGCAGACGCCATGGTGATCAGGGTGCTGTGAATGACAAACGATTATTGCCACACCTTGTTTGCTCTGGTCAATGCCGAGTTCGTTGCGCAACAGAAATACTGGAGAAATGAAGAGGGTGGGGTGGGCCTGGCGAGGGGGGAGTCGCTATCTCGGGGCCCCTGCTATGTGGGGGGAGGGGGGATCACAACACTACCTGCCACATAGACGGCCACCTGTCGCATGTGAGATTATTGTCCAGAGACTAACGCATGAACTATAAAATGACAATTCTCTGAATGACTGAAGAAACATCAGCGTCCTGACTGTGCTGGCTAATCGCTGGACACCTTGACAAAACAAACAGGTGAATATATGCACTCAGGAAGAAAAATAATGCATCATATCCATTATTTGAACCGCAAGGAACTTATGAGGAAAAATCCGTAAAAGCATCACTTTTAATTTTTCAAATCCTGTGTCGCCACCTCAAAAATCATCCTTAGGCATATCCTGGGTGCCTTTAATGAGAAATCATTACCGCAGCAACAGCCTGCCTGCAGTTCGTTTACATCTCCACTACTGCATCCTCCTGTCTAAAGAAAAATCCGACAGAGGAGAAGAAAACTTTCTATAGTGCAGTCAGACAGCTAAGGGTTTGCTTGCACCAATGATGACCACGCATTGTTCTAACCACCAGATGCTCCGACCATCAAAATCACTTCTGCATAGAGCATTTTTACCATTTTACAGTCAATTATAGTCATTTTTAGTCAGTTTACCAAGAGTCTGTGGCTCAGGCACCAATGACACTATGTCACACACACAGGGTCACCATTTCTCAGTGATTGGGGGCAAAGGGGGTGGGGGGGACGTCACTGAGCTGCAAATAAAGGGGAGCAGGAGAACAGGAGTGGAAGGCGAACGAGCTGAGGGAGGTGTGTGTGGGTGTGCTCCTGAGCCCAGGTGATGAGCTGGCTCCACTGCAAGCCCACACAGTGTAAGGAGGTCTGCACCGGCCAGCTAAGAACACGTGACAAGTCCAGTGTGGAAATAATGCGGAGACAGACCTCAGGGGGACCACATACGCCACTGCAACAAATCTGAGAAGGACCATTCTTCTTCTGTTCTTGTAAATGAGGTCTGAATGTTAATAATATATAATCATAAAAGCCAGGCCTAAAAAAACTTACAAAATAGGGAAAAAATTATTATTAACAATAATGCATGCTGGTAACACTCAACTTAAAGCAGTCATCATAATGCATTATAGATACCTTCATAATGTATAACAACACATTCATAAAGTATTATAAAAAATGCTATAACTAAAAAAGGTATAACACATTATAGCCACGTGTATTATGCATTATGAATGCTCTATGAAGCTTCTATAGTGCACTATATATAGCTTCATTATGCATTACAATGGTCAGCATTATCAGTATTATAGTATTATAATGCATAGTGAAGGTATTTATAGTGCTTTATACATGGGTGCTTTAAGTAAAGTGTTACCTACAAGTCTTACCAGCATAATGCATGTAAGTCATTTTAGCACATTATTATCTAAAAAACACTTCCAGTCTTATTTAAGAATCTGCTCTGAAATAGTAGGCAAATTGTTATCATTCTTGGCAAGAATCAGTTTTCAGTTATGCATGTAAAGGAAGCAGAGTCTGCTAGAAAGACTCGGTAACTGAAAGGAAGAGGACTGGGGGAATGGGGAAGTTGTGGCTGAGGCGTCATGACTGGGGAGGGAGCCAGAAGGAGGTCCTGTCCACTCACTGCACTCGCTTATGCAATCACATTGAACGTGGCGAAAATACTGAAAAATTCCAGCAGTGCTGCAGATCATGACCCTTGTTAAACTAAAAACTGCACATTGAGATAATGGTGATTAAAAAGAGGAAAGTAAGGGCAAGAAGGACAAAGGGGTGAATGGTGACTGAGATGTAAACGCAGACTTACAGTAAGTCATCACCCACTTTGGTGACTGAGATGTAAACGCAGACTTACAGTAAGTCATCACCCACTTTGGTGACTGAGATGTAAACGCAGACTTACAGTAAGTCATCACCCACTTTGGTGACTGAGATGTAAACGCAGACTTACAGTAAGTCATCACCCACTTTGGCTTCATCACATAACAACACGCCACATCAAAACAACAGGTAATTCACAGCCACAGAAATGTGGGTACGGTGGTAGGAGTACCGTGTGTTTGGGGGCAAGGGGTTGGGGGCTACTTTGGTCCCTACCAATGCTGAAACTAAACCAACGCTTTTAGTACAGCTCATGAATGGGAACAAACAGCTGAAGACTCTGGTGGCTGTCTGTAGTGCCCTAAAGCCAGGAGATTAACATGGATCAGCTCATCTGAAACCATACCGCAGTAGGCTAATAGTTATTAAAAACTGTAACAAAAAGAAACTAAAGAAACAGAATGTATCAGTGGTCCTTAAAGTCGTCGTAAGTACTGGATTTCAGGTTGCTATTTGTGATTTACGCATGTGTCATGCATTCATGATAGGTGGCTTAGATTAATTTAGTTCGGCTTTTAATATTTTGGACTGGGTGCTTCAGATCCAGAATAATCCCAGCTCAGAATTTCTTTTTATAATAATAGTACAGCTGCTTGTAGTGGCCGCCGTGTAGAAATAGCATTATGGGAAAAGTTGGGTTTACCTTAAGAACTTGTTTTTTTTTAAATCTCATCTAAGGAGTTTTACGCCCTAGCAGCTGCACACAAAGTAACAGCGGGCCCCGGTAAACCACTAATCCAATAAAAATACCGGCATCAAGCTGTCGGTCAGAACAAGAAAGGGGGGAAAAAATCAAAAACAAAATGCTTTGGCAGCTCAGATTCGCTATAAGCTGCCGGGCTTTTGGATTTGTAGAGAGCTTTTGACCCGTGCACAGGAAAACAGAATATGACAACAAACAAAAAAATTAACACCACTCCCGCAGTAAGAATACAGATGCGATCCCAGTGTCAGCTGGCCCTAAACTGGAGACTATATGAACGCAGTCATTATACTTGTGACTGCACAACCTGAAATGTCCCGTTAAACATGTTTGCCGGCAAACTTTATAATATATAAGCCATTTTACAATATAATCCTGCTCAATACAGGATTTCAATTTCTATGGCAACAAGCAATCAAAATACAACTATTATTTCTTTTTGGGTCTGTGGAGGAAACGCGGGACAATGTAGTGGTATTTTGGTTATTTGTGGTGGGTAAATGTAACTTACACGGAGCAAATGCGCCAGTTTTTAATAAGATTTCAGATTTTGATATAAGGCTTTCGTTCGTCATCGAACAATCTGACATGTTGGAAAGCATACGTACGCTCCTACAGGCTTTACAACATGAAACTTTTTCCTAAAAAGGGAAAAATAAGCACTCACGTATTTTTGCAACACTTGCCACCAGGATCCAAATTGCAATAATATAAGGTGTCTGGACATAGCTCCATTCCCACTGTACAATCTTATAGCCACCGCCGTGATGAGACGCATCGCCGCTGTCAGTGGTCTCGACGGGGTCGTGCGCATCGGCGGATCTGGCTAAAGCAATGCCAGCCTCGGCGTACTCTTCGGGAGGGTAAGGAGAGGCTGCAGGGGACGCTGAGAGGGTCGCCGGCGGGGCAGCGCTGACAGCCGTCTCCGGACGGACGGACGCTTCAGTTCCGTAAAGGTCAGCCGCAGCTACCCCGACAGCCGTCACCAGCAGGAGCGGAGTGACAAAGAGCATCTTCAGCGTGTCCTCAGCGAGCTGCCATCTCACGCTCTTTTATATACGTCCTAAGGGACACGGGGACAGCACGTACCGAGCCGCCGGCTCACAGCGCCAGCACCTTGGCGTCCGCTTCCAGCAGAGGCGCGGCTCTGGCGCATCTCAGCACGTGACACGAGCCGCAAAAATACCATTTTAAAGAGGCAAGGCACTCGCACGCGGGGCTTTCGCTTCGAGCGGGAGGAACGCAGCTTCTCTTCAGCGATTCTACACGATGCATTAATATTCTTGATTTCTGTGAAAATTCAGTTCTAAGGTGTTTTCAACGATTGTGATTTTATAACTGATCAAAAAAATGCAATTTCTTTAAAATTGACGAAAAAAAAAATTCAGAGTGGAAATACGAATATATTTGGTACAAGAATACCAGGGAGCTATAAACAAAAATATAGAATAACACCAGTTCCGAGGGGGGGGGGGGAGTTAGCATTTGTTTAAATGGTTTTGCTGTCTGATTACTATATATAGCGTAATATTCGTTAAGTTGGGTATAATATATATTCTAGGCCTACGTCAAATACGGGCATAAAAGTGAGGTGAGTTTGGGAAGATAAAAACTTTTAAAAAACGTGCAATGTACTGAGAAAAGTAAAGGATTTTCATGAACCTTAGCGGTAATTGAGGAGTACTAAATCGAGCATATGAAATGCAACCACTCCCCCATGTGGACGGCGAAGAATGGGCGACATTATGGTCCTGTGGTGACCGTGGACGAAATGCATTAGTCATCATTTAACAACCCCGAATAACCCGACAATGACACTATGGTTGGAGTAAGGACAGAAGTCATACTTTACAACAATTAAAACAATATTTTATTTTGAGATGCAAACATGTTATTGGGTCATATGACAAACATTACATTAATACATTTTAAAAAGGGTAAGCTGGTGTGTTATAAATGATTTAGCAGAAGAGTTCGGCTAAATCCTAATTGTAAAACCACCGGAAGAACATCAAAAAGTGACTGCCGTGTATTTTTGTATGTCTCTCACACAATACAGAATTGATACATAATTAGATAAGTACACCCTAACCTCGCAGTGCAAAACCGTAATATCCGCAATATGAACGTTTAACCGATGTTAGACATTAAAAAATTTAATTTTGCTGCCATTTTAATTGCGCTGACAATGCAAAGTTAAGACATTTGCTTGCTTATCCTTTGAGCATACAATCTGTTGTTTAAATACAAGGGCGGAACAGTTAAAAAACTAGCGAGAACAAACTAAGTTCATCAGATAACAGACTGCTGACCTAACTGAAAGGGATGTGTTTCCCATCTTGCCTAGACTCCGTGCCGTGTGTCGTAGCGAGGACCAAGCCAACTGAAGGACGTCTTTAAACGTCTCCCTGACAACAAAGACTAAAATAAGATTCAAATGCGCATTCACCAACAAGAGAAATGGCCCAGCAATAAATTAAACAATAATATACAACAACAAATGCCAACAAGCGTACAGCCCTTAATTCAGAATTCTTAAGTTTCCATATCATCGTAACCTCCTCGAGAGCCTCACAGAGGTATCCCAATTCCATCCCATATAAAACATTACCTAAGGGAGGGGGGTGGGGCAGCTTATACCACAATCCAGATACTACAGGACCCTCCACACACATATACACACACACACACACATACACACACACACTAACCCATTTGCTCTTGTGCAAAAAAATAATAAATGTAACATTAGTAGATATATATATATATATACTGTGAATATTCCTCAGCTTCCAGCACTCCACCAACACCCCCCGCTGTGAAAGCAACTCAGGCCACTCCTGTGGTATATTTCAGAACATACTTCAGACACAGTTCTAGCACCTATAAAACAAACTCAAGTCCAAGTCGTGTTCTAGCCGAGACGTTCCCTGCAGCCACATGGCCGGTGCCGTTCATATCCTCTCTCGTAGTGGCCGCATTTTGCCGCATCTTCCCCCGTCCCTTTAAGGGCTTGTTCTGGGTCTTCCCATGCTGTGTCCCAGGGGAGCCTGCTGTCACAGCTGATCATTGGGCTTGCTGAGGCCCAGCGCCTGCACCATGTCCACACTCAGGCCGCTCTTCAGCGTCCGCCGCACTGGAATATGGCGAGATTCAGTAGATATTAGCCACAAGGTAAAAAGTTATAGACTTTCATCACATTGTGGGCATATGTGGTACCCACATTGTAATAATCGCAAAAACAAACACACACATCCCAAAATACTTAAGGGAAGGCAATAAAACTGGCCTTAGTCTTAATCTTCACCTAGGAGGACTTGAACCCCATCTATGTCAATGTGAATTTTTTAAAACTTGTTGAGACTGCAGTTTTAAAGTAGTGCACTGGAGGAGGGATGAGGCCTTCAAGAAAAGTGGCTTCAGGCTATGATAATGTTTATTATAATGACATGTTTACAATGTTTGGACTCTTTTGGTTGTACATTATAAGTGTTGTAGTCCAAATTCTTTTTAAGCTTGGCCAAGCCGCGGACTATCTGGCATTGCCAGAGGGATTCGTTTTAACTATAAAGTTGGGGACTTTGAAAATCTGCTGTATATCTGATCCACTAGGCTGCCGTCTACAGTGATTTCTCCAGAGAAATGCTGATAGTCTCTAACCTTGGTTTCACAGGGACAGAGCGATCCCAAAGTGGCAATCTACAGCACAACTTCCCCGCTATCTCATGGCTGCAACCCAGACTCAAGAAGCAGACACTTGCTGGCTCCACAGTGGAGAAACAGAAGACTAAAGTCTGCACTGTGGAATTCATGTTAAGGAGAGAAAGTGAAACCTGGCAAAGAAATGCAACTATAACTTCAACAAAATGACGATCATGTTCTAATGAGGTGCATGATATTACGACACGGACATTCAGGAGAAATAACTTTTGAGTTACTTTTTTGAACAAGTTGAAGAAATATAAAAGGAGGAAAAGCTGATTCCACTGAAAACTAAAAACAGGAATTGCTTTCCTGTGATATTTCAGCAAGAGATGTTAGATGCAATCCAGTCTGTCATGGTAAGGAGAAAACATCTAATTGTACAGAGGGAACCCAACAGATGCATGACAGAGATCTAGCTTTACGATTATTAATGACTAGCAAATTACATTTGTATAGTGCTTTCACACACCCAAAGCCACTTTACAAGGTAAGGAGAGTGCACTGATATCGTGTGTTACCACGGCCACCACACAACGAACCACCTCAGGGATGAGAACCTGAGTGCGGACCTACAGCAGGTGATACCTCAGCAGCGCACTAGTTAAAATGGAATGGAGCAGTGTGAAGAATTTTCCAGTGTATAGAGTGCCAGCCCCCAATGTGTTGCCTGAAAGTTGCAGGACCTGCTTGCAGGGCAGGATGCAGATTAACGTCATACTCCAAACTAAACAATTGCAGGTTAAGAGATTATCTCAAGGGCCCAACAGAGTAGAATAACTCCGGTTATTCACAGGATTCGAACCACCAGCCTTCTGATTGCCAGCACAGATCCCAAGCCTCAGTGCCACCACTCTGCTTTACAAGGAGAAGGAAAAAAAAAACAGGCAGTACAGGGAGAAAAATGTTCATTAAAGTATAACGTAAAGAACAGCCACAGAGAGACTGAGAAGAGAATTTCAGAGTTTGGAGGCAAAGACACTAAATGACCTGCCATTTATAGTGAGAGGGGCAAGGAACAGATTACAGCAACATGACCAAAGGGATGGAGGGAGAGAGTAAAGGGTCAGGAGATCACTGCACTAAGGGGGAGCATTAATGTAGAATAGAAAACAGAGAAATGGAACAAAGGAGATTACAGCTTAGTTTGGACACAAAATCCTATTGTCTGCGAGCACAATCAATCCGAAAGCAAACCACTTACGACACACACAGAAACCTCAGTGGCACTTCAAACTCTGAGCACATTTAGTGCAACCCATTTAAGACTTTCAAATCGGCCGATTTTAGGGCCCAAGGCTTCGCAGGATTTGGTGCAGTACAATACAGGATATTAGTCTCATCCTGTGAAGGAACATCAGCCTGAATGCTCTACACTCAGACTGAGTCTACAGATAAGTTGATGAGATTCAATAGGATTCCTGACATACAAGTACTTAAATCAACATCCCCACAGCTGACAGGCAGGATAAATACACAAAGGATTTTTGCCCAAACATCTCCCAGCAGCTAATCTTAGCCCAGAACAGCTCTAGTTGTCACGCTGGCTCTGTATATTCAAGTGTGTCTCTTCACAGCTGCCAGACAGGCCGTTCAGGCAAATGGGTGGATAAATCACCTTTATTTAAATAAACAATAATCGGGGTGGGGGGAGGGGGGGCGGATGAGGTGCTTGAGTCAGTGGACAGGCATCTGATATGCATCTGATGACTTGCATACTATGTATTCCATGGGGAGTTCCAGATTACTACAACCCTAACTGAATTATCAATAAACAAGAATGAAGATGGAAGGTTGAATCAATAGGTGCATAACATGCATCTGCAAATTACAGCCATTATAAACCATATCTTCATTACGCTTCGCCTGGCAAAGGTCATGGTCATTATATCTCGTGCTCAGTGAAACATATTTCACTGGTTTCCTTTGATGTAAATACATGGGTATAATCAGTACAGAAAACGAGGAAAAGTCATTGTACTCTAGGACACGCTGTTTAATATGAAGTATTATTTCTGGAAGTGGAAGCATTCCGTCTATACTCACAGGATTTCCTGTTCAAACGGGAGCGTTTTCGCGTTTTTGGAGTGGAGGGCCTCTCTGATGGATTATGCGTTACAGACTTGACCAGGCGGTCCATGATCTCATCAGTGGCGTCGTCATGGGAACTTGTGATGTCATCTTTGGTAGATACATTCACAGGCTTTACATTACCTAAGCCTGACGAAGAACAAAGGAATGAGCATGTTCACCTTGTACACCTGCGTGGAGAATCATATGCCACAGATTGTCCACATCCCCACACTGACATGCCATTTGGATAGCTGCATTTCTACACTTAAACTATTCACAGAAATAGTTCAGGTTTTCTAGTTGTACCATAAGTTGGCATGAAGGGAGGAAATCACACTTACTCCGTACAGCACGACTACGACGCAGATTGCCATGGTCAACGCTAGCGGTCAGCAAATTCTTCATGTTCTCATGCTCCTCTTGTGTCGGCTCAGTAAGTGCTGCCACGGAGACAGGGGTGGGGCTGCTCTCAGTTGGAGAGGAGACTGCTCCGCAGAACTTCTCGGTCTGAAACACAGAGGAAATTATACTCAGCGGCCTTTGGATGCTGATTAGTACGTCAGTGATTGCGCCCTAGCAATAAGCCCTTGGGCATATGGGAACATTTCGCTTGCAAAGGTCATCCAGGATGCCCTTACTCTCAGCACACAATGACATCTGTGGCACGTGTCATTATGCTGTGTCATTAACTACATGTAATTCTTCTCTCATATGATCTGTAATGTGTTTTGAACCCTGGGTTATAAAAGATTTCGCTTTTTTCCCTTTTTGGTCCTTTAGTGTGGAGGTATTTCCCCAGTGTCTGTGGGGATTCTTCCTGTGATTCTGGTTCCTCATCATAAACATCCTTCTGAGGCATGTATCATAGTTGGTGACACAGTCCGCTGTATCCTGCCATTGTTTGTGTATGTGTAGCTCAGTAAGTAGAGCACTGCCCTAACAGTGCTAAGGTTGTGGGGGTTCAAATCACAGGGAGCACACCAAGAACCGTAAGCCTTCTCTCTACTGTTAGTCGTGCTGGATAAAAGCATCAGACAAATGAATAAAACGTGAATGACATCCCATTCGACAGCATAGCCCTCTCACTACCCTGATTACAGAACTGACGAGCTGAAGTAGACAAAAGCAGTTCAGCAGAAGAAAAAAACAGCCAAAGGATTATGCTGGTGCCGTCTGACCTCTGTGATTAATTTCCCGCGCGTTTTGTTCCGCTCGCGGTGGGCGGCCCGCTTGCGCTTCTGCGTTACGACGCGTTCCCTTGTGGTGCGGTACTCCAAAGAGAACTCGCTGATGATCTTGCAGAACTGGGTGACTTTGATGTCCCGCACAGAGTGGGATGGCTGGCCCAGGTACAGAACAAAGGAGTGGAACCTGTTGAGGCAACAAATCATATATCATGCTACAGTCTTGGTCATCAACCAGCCTGGACCCTTTATCTATTAGCCATTGTACTTTATATAATGGTCCTGCAGCACTTACACATTTAAACTTCTCTCCCTATAGAAGTAGAATTTCTGATCTTCTTGATCTAGTTCAGTTATTAGGTATTGAATGTTCATTATACATGAATGTTCATTACATCTGGGCAATATTCACTGCATATGTGTATTTTCAAAATTTTCTTAATTATTTCTGTTGTTATAGTTTTCTAGTGCTATTTATTTCTATTGGCTGTTGTAAGAAGTACATTTCCCCATTGTGGGATCAGTGAAGTCATGTCTTGTCTTAGTTTTGCTGAATGCCTTTGGGTCTCCAGAATGCTGGTCATACCAGTTTGTCCATTCTCCAGCTGGGGGGGGGGGGGTAATAGGAGGTTCCCACCTGTTGATGATGCGCCTGTGTACCACCTTCAGGATGATGATCCGGTCCGTACAGTCCTTCAGAAACTCTGTCATCTTGGTCTTCAAGCCGGCTTTGGCCTCATGCTTGGCCACTACCTTCAGATGGTCCCAGGAAACTTTGCACCTCTTCTCCAGCTGCACTAGACTGTCCGACAGCTGTTCAAAGTCCACCTGGGGAGGAACAGTCCATAATGGCAACTACAATAAACTACATGCTAAACATTTAGATTTTACCATAATTTGTACACTGTTTTGTTACTGATCTTAGATTAAATTTATTCTGCTTTGGAAAATTCGGCACCATCAATGCAAATATACGATCAATGTTGTGATGCATCAAGTTTGAGATTGCTGTAAGATTTTAACTTACAGTATTACTGTACTTTGAGACATTCAGATGATACATTTTTTTGGAAGTTTAACTTAAGTTCACGCCATGCAAGCAGCTTGGGCCATATTAATTTGTGAAAAACAAATAAAAACCGGAGAAGGTAAAAAATGCACACATGGCAACAACAAGATTATCTACAAATCTGTGGCCCCTCGTGTGAGGTCCTTAACCCCCAGCTCTCTGGGTGCCACTATGAGTGACTGCCCTTCGCTGCCAAGCTGGCTCTCATCTATGGGAGTGCAAGATGTGGCAGGCGAAAAGAGAATTTCCCCACAGGGATCAACAATAGTATACTCATTTTAGTTCATTATTTCATTTCATTTTTCAACATCCTAAATTAAAAGGTGTTTTTCATTGGCTTTAAACAAAGGTTCAAAAGGTTTAACTTTATTAAAAACATCCCACAAATTACTGACTGGGAGACACATGGAACATTGAGGGTTAAGCTACTGTACTCGTTGTATTCATTGGATCTTCTAATGGTGGCTACTTAGGCTGCACATGAGGTCATGCAAAGCACAGGAGGGGTGGAAATGAGCAGAGGGCCAGAGGCTGACGGCGGACTCACTTTTGCACAGCGTGTGAGGGAGCCGATCTCAGAGTACACATCTGACGTGTCTGGGTACTTCTCCACCACGAAGTTACAGATGTGATGCAGGAGCGACTGTCGTTGCACCGTGTCTTTCACCTCGGTCACCTTCTCCAGGTAGCTCAGCTCAAAGCCCTTGGCCTGCAGGGGTACAAAGTGACCGATGTGACAGTGGGCTCATGTGGGGAGGGTCAGTCAGCCCAACATCTGTGCAGCGCCACAGCTGGACACCCTTAGTCAGAACGACGACTCGTTTTAGGCTGGTTTTAGGCTCACACAATACACAACTGCTTTTCTTTTGCTGCATTAGTTTTTGCTTTTTGAAAAACGAAACGCACCAGCTGCCTGAGGACACAGTTACTAATGGCATACCAGGGGGCTTGGGGGGAGGGGGGCACTTACGCTGGAGTTGTTCAGGAAGTTTCCTATGGCCAGAATGGTTGCTAGGATGTGCTTGAATGTTTGGTTCTTAGCGAGCTGCTCCATTCCTTGCTTAAGGTCGAACAGGGGCTCTGCAACCTCCTAAATCCACCGACGAAAGCAGACATTAAAGGCCAGAACCTTGCCAACCACCACTGCTTTGGACAAAGAGTCCATCTGCTGGTGATATCTGTCATTGCAGTTTTAACAACATTAAAAGTAGCTGGTTTGCAGACATTTATGTTGATGTATTAACAGCAAATAAACATACAGTCATAGGCAGTTAATTCTGAATGAGGTACTGTACAGTGTTATACAACGCTGCATGGCAGGGGTGTCAAACTCCAGTCCTGGGGGGCCCCAGGACTGGAGATTGACACCCCTGTTGTACGGTGTTAAACATAATTTGGACCTCACATCCACAGTTGTGCCAACTTGTGTCAGCTGGCTCGCGTGACATTTTCAATTCGAAAAAAGTCTGCACACTCATTTACATGCATATAATAGTTTTATTACCTTGTAGATAGTCTGTAGGGCTCGCAAACTACCCCAAAGCTTTTAATGTAGCTGATTTTAGGTTCATAATGGAATAATATAGATTCGCAGTCAGATTTCTTGCGTGAGCGTGAGAGTCAGAAAGCCAGAGCGTCACACCAGATGCGTGAAAGCTGCCAACTCTGTATCCTTCTGCGGTGCAGACATGGAGGTAAGAGTGCGTTTCCTTTCTAGAGTAGAGTGTGACAGACCTTCTCGAGTGTCTCGTAGTTCAGCTTGAAGGCCCAGAGCTGCAGCCTGGCTCCCAGGGCGCTGATGGAGGACAGGGCGAGCAGGAACTGCTCCGCTGTGCCCAGTGGCATGTCTGGGTTGGCCAGCTGTGCCTCCTGGATCTTCTGCTTCTCTTCCTCTGTTGGCATCATGCTCAAAATTTTCTGGCACCACCAGACAGATCAGACAGAGTGGGCAGAATTGGATGAGGGGGTTAGTTAACTATGCATCTGATCAAGGAGATTGGAGCTACACTATTTAAGGAATATATATATTTTATATATATATATAAAAATCTATGTACATTTATTTATTTTAGCATATGCTTTTATCCAAAGCACTTAAGACAGCAGCAGCCAGCCCCTGGAGCAACAAGGGTTAAGGGTCTTGCGCAAGAGCCCAACAGTTCAATAACTCTGCTAAGCCTGGGATTTAAACAAATGACCTTCTGATTACAGGCAAAGGGTCCTAACCTAAAGGCACACAATCTCTCCCAAAAAGTATAAATAGGCTGACCCCTGATATTCAGAATGCTGGTGCTACAGTCAACTCTCGCACCACATCCGAAGGCTATGAAATTGACCATGAGACAGACTTACCTCGATTCCTTCTTTATTAATGGCAAACTCATCAAAATTAAGGATGGCGGTCTTGATGATGTGGACAGCAGGTAAGACAGTCATGCCGATGTTAATTGCGTTGCTCCTCTTGGGATCCAGGACAACAATCTCGGATTTCTTCACTTCAGACCCTCTCTGGGTACATAGAGGACGAGGAAATGAAACCGCAAAATGAGAGAAACAGACTCTGCACCTCCATCCTTGGTTACTTAATACAAGTACAACTATTTGCAGATCCTTGTATTTTCAAAGGCATCCGGGAGAGAGCTGATGACAGTTTTAATGTTAAACCGGTAAATGAACTGTGCAGGTATGATGGATTAGGGTAATAATAAAGAATCATTGATGGAGAAGGTTGTCATACACACCTTAGCTACAGGAAGCTCTTTGGCTTTGGACTCAAACAGGTGCTCCAGTTTGGCCGTGTCCACGGTCACTTTGTCCAGCGATGCCCACACTGTGCCACGGCCAAACTTGCATTTTCTTGGGCTGTCCGACTGCTTTAGCTCCTTCCAGAAGAGCTTGACAGTTTTCCTCTTCTTAGCGAAAGCGGGGTCTGGACTCGCCGAGGGTGGAGGAGGGGGCATGCCGGGGGCTGGGGGTGGCGGAGGTATGCCAGGGAAACCGATGCCAGGTGGGGGAGGAGGTGGAGGAGGGGAGCCCAGACCTGGGACCCCCGGGGGAGGTGGGGGGGGCGGTGGCGGAGGAGACCCCAAGCCAGGCAGGGGCGGTGGGGGTGGCGGCAGCCCGTTAGGCACACCAGCGTCAAAAGAATCCACATCCAGCACGTCGATGTCCTCCTCTTCCTGAAGGTCGGAGAAGTCCAGGTCTTTGATGCGCAGCTGCCTGTTGGAAGGCTGCAGACGGTCCCAGCCGCCCTGGCTACCCCGAGACAGCGGAGTCATCAGGGTGGTCTCCAGGCTGAGTGTGTTGGTCTCCGCGTCGATGCTGTACTGCGGACGCACGGCCCGGACCTGCCGCTCCTCCGCCAGCCGGGCCTTGGCCGCCCGCGTGCTGCCCTCCAAGCTCTCCAGCTCCGTCTGCCGATGTGCTTGGCCCCGCCTCTCAGAGTCAGGCCCCTCCCCATCTCCAGCCTCAGATTCGCCTGCTGTAGGGCTCTCTTCCTCTGTTGTCGGCATGGTCAGGGAGCCAACGGGGTCCTTGGCATAGAGCATGTCCAGCATGAACTTCCTGTCACTGGAGAGGGTGCTGCGCTGCTCTACAACGCTGCCCTGTCGCTTGATCTCTCCACCTGAGCCAAGAGAACAGTCACACAGTCACACAAACCCACACTGCATCGCCTCTGGCAACTGCAACTGCAACGCTACACCACAACTGCAACAAGAACCAGATCTGCATACTCCTGAAACAGACGCACCTACAGCTCCCATCTCTACACACCTTCTCTCTACACGATACAGACCAGAATAAGGGCAGCCAAATCTCAGCCCTAAATACATAAGAACACTGAAAACAAAATGTCATGTATACAGTATGTTCCCTCAAAATGTTCCAAAGATCAGGTAGTATTGCTGACAGTTTCTCTGCATATTCTAAAGCATACAGCAATTACAGCTGCATCTGGAGACGTGGTTTTTAAAAATAAAACACATTGAATTTACAAAGGAAAAAGCCATTTATCCAGTCTTTGATCTCCATGAGTAACCAGCAGCATCACCTCATATTTTAGCAATCAGTCTCCCTCAATCCCCATTTGCCTCCTTCTCTGCACCAAAGTCTGATCCATGTGACATCTGAACACTTGTATTTCAGACCACCTCCAACGTTTCACCCAAGCCAGGGAGAGAGGGGGGCAGAAAAGGGAGCCCATACTCCAAACGGCTCCCAGCAGGGGAGCTGAGCCTTGCTGCCTTGCTGTCTACCCTGCTAAGGATCTGAGAGCAACAGAAACAGCTAAGAGTCTCAACAGCTTCTCTGTCTCGCCTGAAAGAAAGAACTCAAGTGCCCCGTTTCCGGCCACCCCCCCGAACACCTCAAAAAACTGAATGAGTGAATGAGCGCTATGGTGTGATCAGCTGATCATTTAATCAATCACATGTTTTCCTCTTCTTATACAGGGACAAAATATAAATACTCATTTTACAGATGGCATTTTCATTTTTGATTTCCTACAGCTTGTGGAAACCGCATATCTGATAAATTAAAACACTGGATGCTATCTACTCCTTCCAGTGAGCCCCATTGGGCATCCCATAATCCAGCATTTCAGGTGTGTTTCAATTCCAAGAATTAAAGCTTTCGTGGGCAGGGAGGAAAGGCACAGGTGAGATGAGGAGAGAGATGCCCTGTGTCTTACCAAATTCACCAGGAGTCACGCATTTAACTTCAGGCTGCTCCAGGTCGACAGCAGAGGTAGCGGCCTTTCTGCTGTCTTCCAGCTGAATGCGGTCTGGAGTCACAAACATGTGCACACGCACGCACGCACACACGCACAAGCACGCGCACGCACACACAGAATATAATTAAGCACAGTTAACAGCACGGACTGATCCATTTAACATGTAAATTGCTTGATGTTATTTTTGGATTCATATTGCATTTACTTACAGAGGCTTTTGTCCAAAGTGACATACAAGTCAGATAGATCACTGAGGCAATATTCTGATGTGTTTACATTATTTTTTCAAAGCCAAACAATAATCCACATCTGTAACCAGACATGGCCAAATTCCACCCAAACCAAACCAACCCTGCAGGTTCCATGTAGGACTCCGACCCCAAAACTGCAACCCAGTGTGTTGCTGGCTTGCAGCAATGTTTCCACAAGCAGACATCACACTCCACTGGCCCCCAAACCGCAAGAAAGGTCACCACACCACGTTCACGCTGCCTACGACCGGCAGGCCCAAAACAGGCAGGTTTCATAATGCGTCCCAGAGCATCGCAGGAGCAGCCATAACAGGCCGTTAAACCCATTTGGAGGATTAATGGCCCTAGCGTTTATCAGAACTGCCGTAATTAGGGTTATGAAATGGAAAGTTCCCGGTCTGAATGAAGCCGAAGAGAGCATGTGTGACAGATGATCGTGCCCCCCCCCCACCTCAGTCCTCACAATGTTTTCCTTTCTCATTACTATGCCAGTGGTACCCTCTCTGCCCCTCTGCCAAGCAACCATTGTTATGCTTCTCTGTGACCCCCCCCCGCAAACTCTGCCAGTGACGCTTCATTTACTGGGGCAGAAAAGCAGCCCCCACCCTTAACTCCACCCCCATAGAGCTCCGACCACATCCACCATCCCAGAAATCCCACCCTCTCCTGCCTTGTGACCTCACTGCCTAGAGAGGCCAACTTCTCCATTGACTACATATTACACATGGACTCTGACAGTTACCTAGCAACCGGCTATTGACAGCTTGACCGAAGCTTTGATCGGCAAAGGAGAATTTCCCCTGGTGGGACATTCTGTTCCGTTTCATAATAGCGATTTAATGGCAACATTACAATCAGTTATGGCAGATGTTCAGCCCAACTTTGCAGTTCAGCCACAAACTGAGCATCAAAGAGCACAAATAGTAAGAGATGGGGGAGCAGGTCCTGCTAGAAGGTTGGTAATAAGGTCTCCAACCACATGTTCATGTAATGCCATAATTGGACAAAAAGGTTTCCCACATGCTTCCAGATGGGGGCGCCAGTGTACCTTCAGCAGCAGTGCTGTTCTGGCAGGGCTCCTCAGGTTCGGGGGAGGGTCCCTCCGGCTGAGTGCCATGGATGGACTGCCTCTTTCGTCGCTCCCACTGGGTCGCCTCCAGACTGCGCAGGAAGATCCCCCTGTGGGATGAAGCGGACCGTGAGGTCACGGCAAACGCACCCCCCTCCCACCCAGAGGCCCCCCTACAGGCTAAACGATTCACTCCCTCGTCATTGGCACCCCAATGCTGCTGCCAAAACCTCAGCCACCACCAGCTGCTATTTAAGTAGAATAGTTAGTGCAAAAATGTTAGCTTATTGACATATGACCTCTGAAAGAAAACCCAAATATTCACAAACAAGTCACCGATTGCACCATGAAGGAATGTGGTATTAATTTGAAAAGCAGAGACAGGCTGATTCAGCAATCCGCAGCCCTCAGAGGACACGGCGTCCTCCTCAGAAAAGGCTAAGTGTATATAGGGACATCACACAGTCTCACACTCATAGTACAACCTACGAGTAGGGCCTGTCACCACTAACCTGTCCCCAGCCACAAAAGCCATGTTGACCATATCCCATCCAATGACCAACCCAAATCACCATGGAGAACAGGCCGTCTCAGTCCTGACCTGACCGTGCCATCGGTGCACATGGTCTCCGTACTGTAAGGATCAAATCGGCAGGCCTGATTCACTGAGGATAGGAAGCAGTGATGATCTGGATAGTTCAGCATTGTGAAGTGGTGAAGAGGATTAACCAGACGTTTTTATGGGATTCTTTAATGAGCAGGTGGAAGATGAAGGTGTTTTCAGAGCAGTGACTAATTAAACACTCATGTTAAAACTTAAGCCAATTCAATAATTTTTATGATAAGGCCTCCTTCAAAAAAAAATTAAGTCACTGCATTTAAAAGCAATTAAAAGCATGTTTAACATGCATTGCAGTAAAAAAAAAAAATACTTGTGCAACATTTCATAATAGACGGAACTCCAGGAAGCTTAATACCTGGCAAAGGTCCATCTTTACAACCAACAGAACTGCACTGCCCTTGTGTCAATTGTTCAGTTTTCCTTTGTAAAAAAATCACATGATGAAAGCAAGTCATTCCCTTCAATCACATTTGCATTTTTACATTGAAGGGTGACTTACAAATATTTGCTGGTTTCCCTGCCTGCTGAGGGTTCTGCAAATTTTTGTTCAGATGGTGATTTTGATTCTTGTCGCTCCAGAAACATTTTAATATACTGTGGTGCATCCCTTGAATGTAAGCCGTATAAACAGATCGGTACGTTTGCCAGTGAGATGAGAAAGGATCCAATTGAAATGTGCAAGAAGCTACCAAGAGATATTAATTTTCAAAAATATAAATGGAGGAAAACCCATAAGATTTGGATAAAATGAGAGAATGCAGAAGCAACAGGTTCCCCAGCACCATCACCAAACCACCCCTGATCACCTCTTCTCATAAGAGCGACCCCGCCCCAACCCCCCCATACTTACTGAAACCTTCTGAGAACTGGTTTGTCCATATTTATAATACAGGCTTCCAGGCTGAGGAGAAACGCTTTGTTTAAGAGAGGAAGGCATGTCCAGTCGTTAGACACAATGAGACAAAAACCAGCCACTTGGGCAGAGTTTGACCAATAAGAAGCCACCCAGCCGCCTACAACAGGCCAGGTAATGGCAGCTTTAAGGATTTGGTTACATTAGCAGAACCAGTTCAAGTCCCAAGATGTTTATAACCATGAGAATCTTGTTAATATTTTACTGGAAACACCTAAGTTAAGTAAACAATGAGTATGTTGCGCTAATCACAGTGTCAAAGAGCTTCAAAACAATACTTTTCCATGCTTAAATTTTTGGTTTATCGCTAATTGACAAAACAAAAGGAAGGATGAAGAACAAGAGAGGGGTAAGAGAGATGAGAACATGGCTGACCTACCACAGAGAACCAGCCTAAAACCTTTTTCTACAGAAATATTCCTATACCGCTCCCAAAATATCTCAATTTTCAGCCCAAAATGCTAAAAATCCTGAACAACCAGTTGGACTGACAACTACGCTGACTGGATGAAAATAAAAAGCTCAGTATGGAGGGAGCAGATCCTCAATAACGAAAATACTCCCGTCCCGCATCATCGTGCCGTGTGAACGTTCGGGAAGGATGACTGGAACCTTCCCGTGCCACGTCCCTCATGGCAGAGGGCGAGCAGAGATTCGACGCGGGGCAGTCTGTAAAAGGAGAGAAGACCGCGGACAGGAGGAATGTTGGACGGCGCGATGCAGGAATGAGATTAGGATGCCGGCCAAACATCATAAGGGAGAGAAGAGTAAAGGACGAAGCAGAGATGAAACGTGCAGGGACAGGACATGATTGAGGAAGCTCACGGGAAAGCAGGACTCAGTCCGTAAGTGTAAAACCCATAACAAGGTTAAAATCAAATCTGCCTCATCTCCACAGGACAGCTTCTTCACAAGAACTTCCACACAGACAGTTAACCAACAAAGTCCCCCACCCCCCACCCCCCTCAGACAAATCATAAAGCACAATCTATTCTCCATGCCGAGAAGCATCACAGCTGAAGCTTCTCATAACAGACTCAAAAACTTTCTAGTTCCATGTTTTCAAGTTCCGACCCGTGATGCTGAGCCATTATTCGAAAGGGTGACAGAGCTGCTTACAATGACATGTGGAGCATCCGGCAATCGGAACAGTAAAGTTTTTTCCAGCGTGTGATTAGAAGCCTGTTTTCCTAACACCTGACCCTCTTTACCTCACCATGTCCAAAATCACTCTAGTGGGTACTTACTTGAAGGTGCCGCTGTCCTCGGTCTGAGACTGTGTGTTTAGTGGAGGCTGAGACTGGTTCTGATTCTCCACAGAAGTGGCGTCTGTGGGAGATGGACTGCAAACGGGAGGAGACATAGGCACACACACACAGACACACACACACACACACACACACAGACACAGACACAGAGTGAGCCACAGCCAAGGCAACAACGATCCCCCTCATGACAGCCCCATCCGATACAGTTACTCACACTAAAGCTTGTGTGCAACTGGTCACTCAGAAAAGTCTGTTTGTATCTTTTCTAATAAGCAGGGCTGCTTTAGGCGGCTCTGTGTGTGTGTGTGTGTGTGTGTGTGTGTGTGTGTGTTTGTGTGTGTGTGTGGCCCCATGGACACACTGCACTGGGTTGCCGATCGTCAACTCTGGGAACAGACTCAAGTCCTTTTCAGTGCTTCAAAAACAAAAATAAATGAACAAGTAAATGGCTCTCACTCTCCGTCTCTCACTCTCCGTCTCTCACTCTCCGTCTCTCACTCTCCGTCTCTCACTCTCCGTCTCTCACTCATGCACACACACACACACACACACACACATGTTGCCAGTGTGCAATACCTGAGAAGACAATAGTACTGCACGTTTATCAGTGTGGTAAAACACTACGATATTCTGAAAATTTAAGTTAGAAGTTGAAACTTTTTTATATTTAAATGATAATTTAAACGTCGTTTCATTTACCCAGACAGAAAGGGAATAAATGTTGAAAACAGTGGCCAAGTATAAATAAAAGATTAAGACATGAACTCAAAAAGTTTGAGGAGCTGAATGGTTGTTACATTCTTTTATATTGAAAGCTGAAGGGATTAGTTCACGTTCTCCAAAAGAAACACTCAAAATTTAAAATATTCTAACTATATAAAACTTTGGATTAATTTAAGTGGATTCCGGGTTGTTGCCCATTTTGAAAGATGCATGCAACGCCAGGTTTTCTTGGAAATAAAAAAAAAAAATGTATTTTGTATTCACAATCTCGTATAACAGCACAAAACTGACTGGCCGACACTCAAAAGTGTTCTTAAAGGAAGCCCATCTCACAGAGAATGCTTTGAGGAAATGCTTCCTGGGAAACGTCTAACATGAAGTACACAGGAAGCACAAATAAACACCTCTGGCTCTTTGCTGTTTGATAAGTGAGGCACCATGGGAATGTGGAGGTTCTGGGGAGGGACAGGGCATCGACACCCAAAGACAGGTTTGGCTCAATATGTCCTTTATTCATTTCTGGAAAGCCAACATCACTGGTGGAGGGGGGGGTAAGTTTCTCCAAATCCCCTCAGCTGTGGAAGGGAGAGAACTCCTAGAAGTCCCTCTTTAGTGGGGGAAACACTAATCCCTTCCTTACAAAGCCTCTCTAACATTTCTATCAAGTCTCGACAGGGTGGAGGTGGCAGATTGTATAGTTTGACAGTGGGGGGGGGGTGGGAGACCCTTCAAATCCCCCCAGGCACAGGGCCCATTTTAATAATCACAGTGTCAACACAATGCACAATTCAACACCAGGCTACACAGCGAGGTTTCCTGGTACGGCACAAGCAGAAAAGAATTACCATATTGTGTTCCAGTCCTTAAACACTTTTGTAAGCAAGGCTGATGTGCACCTGAAATTAAAATCTAATGCACTGGTGCTTAAGGAGAAGAATAAAGAACAGAAATGTATGAAATGAAGGAAAAATTACATGGATCAGTTAGATAAGGATGAGAGACCCAGAAGCAATGATTCGGTTTACAGACCTGACAGCAGCAGCAGGGGACTCCTCAGTTATTGACCTTGCCTTGTTAAGCAACCTTGATCGTCTAGAACCCCCCTTACTGGACAGATAATGACTGATGAAAGAGCGCCCCCTAGTGGAAGGACCAGGATAGTAAGAGAAAGGCAGGCATGTTGAATGACGTGGGAGAGCCTATGTTGTTAGTAGGGGATGGAACACACCATGTAAGCAATCACAGCTTTTTAACTTAATGTTTACTGAAAGAAGGTGACCCCAGAAAATAAATCAGTCATACATAAAAGAAAATTTATGCGTTACTGAATAACTTTAAGCTGCTACTAAATATTGTCACCAGGCATATGCTTTCTGTCATTTATAACAAAATAGGCTGCAGTACAGCATGCAGTGCGCTGTGTTGTTAGCCGAGGTGTCAAATTAAACCGCATTCATTATAATCTAGCATAAGCAACAGTGTGTATTTGCGAAAGCGAGTGCAAATTGTGCATTTAAACAAACAGCCTCCACACTGAGCAAGGCGACAAATGACCCAAAAGGCCCCCCATCCCCGGCTGTAATCACCTGCTAACGTAGCCGGGCCGGGGGCAAAATGCTACAGAAACTTTTCATACTCTATTTTTAAATAAAGAAATATTTCGCCAGGACAGCTATGTTCCAAGTGAAACATTTACACACATGGTTTGTCAGAAGAATAAAATGTCACGCAGCCTCCACGGATTATACTTAAAAAGGCAGTTTTGGTATTTACTCGGCCAACTAACGTCACAGAATATTTGCGATATTTATCGTTCTAGTCACCAGCATGTGCGCGTAAAAACACCAGCAGAACAAACAGTACTGCTTATGCTTAGGCATAAAACTAAATTAAATACTGCCTATCAGATCAATCTAGAGTTGTTCACTTCTAATACGTTCAGTGGAGTTAAACTCCAGACTTTTGATTTAAGACACCCAAGCCCTCTACCGATCCGCACATTGGACATTTATTGTTAACTGGTTAAAATTTGTTTTACGCTCAGTAAAAAACCAGTACGTTGCAGCTGCAACGCCTCTTGAGTTACTATCAGTTACCTGTAATCATTTTTTATGTAATTATTGTAATGGTACGTTACATGTGAAACCCTTTTCAAATATCAATAAGGAGACTAGGGAAAAACTTATTTCTGCTTATTTTATTAATTAAGAGATTTAGTAGCTGATACCGAAGCATCAATATCAGCTGTTCACCTGGTTTAGATATACAAGTTTCTACCACGATAGGTGTGGTTAACAGTTGAACATAATTATGGCTGTACTGTTCCGGCTCCACTGAACAGGCAGACGGACTCACACTGCGCAGGCGCAAATTTCAGCGGCGTGAATCCTGAAGGCCCAGAAACGGGGGTTTCCCTCCATGCCTCCCTGGTCCTAGTGCTAATCACTCCAAAGGCACTGCGCAGTGGGAACACAGCGGCGTTTACGCAATTCCCGGAGTGATTTACAATTTTACACTGCTGATGGACACTGTTAGCACCTGACTTTGCTTTTCATTCCGTGACTGAGGCCGCAGAGAGCACAGAAGGTATCCCTCACCTCCGCAGCTTCGCTATATCTGACAATTTTAAATCAAGTTTAAAACATTAGAGCTGAGCCTAATAATTAACGAGTTATGAGCTCATCTCCTCCAGGGAAATGGTGCAAAAGTAGGTAGTGAAATGAGTCCTCTACAGCACAGGCTGTCGAGAGAAACCGCAGTGCTCATTCGACAGAGGTCTGCGCCGAACTGCAGGTGCAGTGACATTTTAAACTTCACCGTCCGGTTCGGCCAACAGGGAGCTGCCACAACCAGCCATGACCACATAAGGACCGAGCTGGCAGGCCCAGGGTTCATTTCAGCCACCTGGGGTCCTTCAGTATTTTTATTTGAACCGCATACCCCATCACTTCCTGTCTCTGGCAGTTTGACGTTATTACTCACATCACGCTCCGGGAAGCTGGGTGGGGTGGGGGGAGGGTTGTTGTTAAAGACACAGCAGCATTTTACTTGCATTTTCTTCATTTAAAACTGCACTATTAGTTTTAATCAATGATCACAGTGCTCCCACAGAAGCATCAGTCAGAGCTTTGTGTCTATTATCAGCCATGCCTAATTAATGGTAGGTATTATCTTAGAGAAGTTATGGCGAGCCGTGCATGTTCAAAATAAATAAAATTAAAAAAAGGAAATAAGTATCTATTCAAAGTTTCTTATCATGCACACAAACTTAGACAAAGCAAACAAAACAGTGCCACAGAGCAGCATGTTCTAGGTAAGAAGGGACACTTACGGGTTTGACGGCACCTGCGGTTCTGAGCTGGCGGAACTCCTAGCAGAACCATTCCTGGATAACAGGGGCACTGGGATATCCCCCGGGTCCGTAGCGGTCCCATCAGGGGATGGGAAGACAAGGGGCAGAGGACCGTCCACCAGGTTCTGCGCAGAGGACCTGCGACTCCTCCTGCCCTCCTCGGCACTCGGAGCCAGCTTGCGCCGGTCCCGCCGGGTGGTCGCCATGGCCTCTTCCACGTCGCCGTCCTCGTAACGCAGCGCGTTCTGCATAGGAGTGGGAGCGCACTGCTTACAGACCGGCACAGAACGCCACAGTCACAGAACCAAGCATTGACATAAAAAGTAGAAATCATGTTTTACTTGCACAAGGTACAGGTACATTGGAATGGTTCTTTACACATATCCCATCATGCTCTGCTTTGAGACACACACACATATACAGTTGAGTGCAAAGCTTAGGGGTCGGAGGACAGTCAGGCCATTTATTTGGCGCCCCTGGAGCATTATGGGGGATTAACAGCCTTCAAAGGGCCAAAGGAAAACGTGAGTATTCTGCCGAGGCCGGGGCTTGGACAGGCAACCTTCCGATCATGGGCACAGAGGCTTAACCCACTGAACCACACACTTCAGCTTCATAATCATATCCAAGTGATCTCAATTACTATTAACACTAATCCATTGTTAAGACAGAATAGGGCACAAGGCCGGGTGACACCCTGAATGTGATGCCAGCAGGGCAGGGTGACACAGCCATTAGACCACACCTGTTTGCCTTGTATCATCACCAGTACTGTTCAGCCGGGTTCGGTCATACAAAACTCTACTACATGTATAAAAACTATAAAAATGCTTTTCATATTAACAAGAAAGTATCAGATACAAGGTGTTTATTCACAAACAAAATCTCTGTCACTGTTAGTCAGGCCAAAATTGTACCCAGCCTGCATAGCAGTCCACCACAGGACATATACAAACTCACACTGAGATCCAAGAGCATTATTTACAGACGTTATATCACTTAAAAGTATATATTTAAGGAAACCAGAGTTTGTAGAGGAAACTCACACAACACACTGAATAAATTCATACTCATAGCAGGGGTGGGATTTGAACCCACAACCCTTGAATAATCAGTGCAATAAAATTCCTCACCAGCTTTAGGACACAAGAATGCCTAGTCGTAGAAGACTGAGATCCTACCTCATATATGGTGAACTGCTGCTTCAAATCGGGGTCAGTGCCCTTGATGTTCATGTGCCTTTGCATGGTTTTCTCCATCCCCAGCTGCTCCAGACAGTCAGTGACGTCGTAGAAAGAGTCCTGGTCTGGCAAAGCTGCCAGGGCCTGCGCAGAAGAACAGTGGAAACAGTTACAAACCATACCTTCATATAGACAGCATGGGCTGATGAACCAAGAACCCAGACCACCACACCTATCTAACAACCAACCTGATGGAATTAGGAACAAGCTAGCTGATTGGTGAAGATCCTGGCAGATCTGTGTTTTGGTAATTGAGCTGGAAAAGTGCCATTCTGTCATTGTGGTTCCCATGGCCTGATCTGACAGGCACCATGTGGGGCCCCATGGGTCAGGAGAACATCATACCTTATTGATAAGTGACAAGGCATAGATAAGAAGTTCACTGTCTGAACCGTTCCTCTCTTCCAGGATCTCTGTTAGGTAGGACCAGGGCTTTGCACCTGGAAACAAACACACCAAAGCATTAGTGCAGCCTCAGAAGAATGCAGATCATGCCGCAGTGACCGGCGAGTATGTGCTGTTTAAGGTACTGCATTTCCAGCGAGGGCAAGCTGACTCACCCCTTTTGCCATCCACCGTGTTCACGGCCTGGATAAGCAGCGGACTGTTGGACTCCGTGTACTCCACAAACACGATCAACAGCTTCAGGGCTGTTTTCACCACCAGCCGCGACTGAGCCAGACAGAGTGGGAGAGTGAGCGGATAGAGGGGGAGGCAATACACATGTCCCACCACAAGATGGAGTCCCTGCACCTCACATTGGATAAGGCCTTCCACGCAAAACATCCAACAAACTCATTGAATCTTACTCATGAAAAGACCAGCAAACAAAATCTTGTTAGATACGTTGATGCAAATTTTACTTAATGACTTAATAAAGTTATTTTTGTTCATTTACATTTGTAAATGAATGAATGGATTAATTACAGAGAAGCTGAACACACTCACCAGACTCCCACACAGGGTATACAGCCACTGTAAGGTCTCGTTGTGGTGAATCACACCATTCATCCCGTCCACAAACAGCATGATTTGGCTGAGGGCTATAGGCAAAATTTTGGGGATAAGTTGAGGTGTGTGGGGGGGGGGTCCATCAATACCCAGAGAAGAGGAGGGCTAATGCAGATTGCACCTAAACAGGAGCCCTCAGAGTAAACAATGGCTTTTCCTTGTTTTCTTGATTTAAACAAGCCTGAGTGTGATCTCCACTGACAGAGATAAACAAGACATTTTCCCAAAGTCCTCAGCTGCCTTTCAGAACGCAGCGTTCCCATCACCCCGTTACACAACAGCAGAGCGGCCGGTGTTTACCCTGACAACGGAGCAGCAGCAACAGCGATGCCATCGCATTCCCCGCCGACTGTGCCCCATCCACCAGGACGAACGTGACCTCTGACCCCTTAGACAGGGCCCGCTCACCACCCACCTCTCAGAATGTAGTTCTGGTAGTTATGGTCAGCTTCAGCCCCTACTTTGATGAAGCAGGTGAGGCCGTCAGAATTCACAAACTCCGGCACCAGGTCCTTGTCGTCCTGCATTGCGAAAAAGCACAACAGAGCTCAGTCCAGCCAAGTCGAACATCACGGCACAGAATCCTGCAGGCTCACATTTTAAAATGTCTTAAAAATGTCAGAAAAAAAAGTTTTGAGATAATAAAGTTCTCACACACTTTACCAGAGAATGCATCGTACAGATCGCTAATCAGCTAACCTGCATCCTGTCTCAGTCACCACTGAACTCCCAAAGGTCAAACGGCACAACTCCCCGTTCAAAACATAAACCAGTCAGAATGTAATTAGACATTTTTTAAGCATGATGGGAAACAGCTGGAGATTCACAGGCAAACAGTTTACAAATTTGCACTCTCAGTTGCATTTTGTAAAGTTCACTGTTTAGACTTTTTTTTCCCCAACGCTTTCACTTTAAGCAGCTTGAAAATTAAAATCATTTACATTCCCCAGTTCTAGGCTGCCATTTCCAAAGGGAAGAGGTCAGGGGTTAAAATCCCTTCGGACACACGTTCTCCCCGTACTTGGGTTGGTAGCAGTTGCTCCACCTCACATTATGGGTCAGTACCTGGAACAACTGCTTCAGAGAGAAGAGGGACCTTCTAAGCTCCGGTCCATGGGAGTTGTACAGCTTCTCTGAAGGAGCAAAGAGAAGAATCACACAAATAAATACAGATGACCAGACAAGGTGCAGCATCATACAGACACAAATCAGCAATGATTTTAGCCCAGTTGGCTTTTAGCCTGTTAGCCAGTTAGCTTTCACACATTAGAAAGCCAGTTTAGGCTTTGGTTATCTGCCGTTTTTGGCCCAGTTAGCCACCCAGCTAATGAACCAGTCAGGTCTTACACCACAGTCACCCAATTCTATTATTTTAAGGCAGAATCACAGTAACGCAGAGGACCAGACTTTCTGGGGTGTCGGAGAAAGTCCATGGGAGCATTTGGAAACAAGCAAATCTCATTTAAGAAGCTCGTGTTATCAAAAATGCTTCTGGGATAATGTGTTCCAGTTCAGTTACTGGAAGAGAAAAAGTTCAATAGGGAAGCAAAAAAAATTAGAACTACAAAAGTACAGTTAATTCAAAACGTCTGTTTTAGTGGCATGTCATATCTGTATTCTAAGAGACACACTTTTCCCCAATGTGTGATAACATCTTTGCTTTTAATAAAATAGACAAAAATCTCTCCAACATAAGCAACGATGGCTGTTTGCTTCCTTCATCACACAGTGTAAATATCTTTCTCCTAGAAATCAGCAGCCTGTGTTCTAGAGCGCTACATATGGAGATTATACTGTGTTACTGGCAACACGTCACAGTACAGCTGATCCTCTCTTTAAAAGGTGAGGAGAACATGCCTTTTTGCTGTGAGCGCTCTAGCTAAAATATGTGTCTATTATTGGACATTATTCAAGCATACAAAAGTTCATGCTCAAACATAAACAGCCCATCAACTCAGTGTTTTTTTCCTGTAACAGTTCCAGTACCATCGCCACAAGGTGGTGCTTTTCCGAAACACCAGAGAGCTGGAAGCCATCATCTCACAGAAAAATGGAGCGTTTTCTGCCAGTAATACCCTTTAAGGCATGTAAGAGAAACAGAAGACTGCTCCAAGCACGCTCAGCAATCTGCTAATCCTTCCATGTCTGCAGTTAATTCCTTGGGAAGATCTCATGGCCTGTGTTGGGCCACGTATGGAAACTGGTTCAGACATATATAAACCTAACAATCAAACGCTCTCCAGAGCCATGGTAGTTTACAAACTCACATTCCTTAAGGCTGGAACAATCCACACCAAAGTCCAGAAAAGGATTCCTATAGGGAAGATAAGGTATCCAAACACCCAACTCACAAATATTGAGATCAATGACAATACAATGACATTTAATATTCATATGAGAAACCACCTTTATTTACAGTAGGTCAATGGCTGTTCTCCCAACCAGGAGAAACGGTATTTTCAAGACCTGTGGTTTGTCCTGATGCCCGTGCTGGTGGCAGCTTTCAGGCCATGAGCTTGTTCCTTTCCCCACTGTACGCAGACACCTCGTGTCACGCCGAACAGGAAGGAAGACGGGGAGATCCCAGAGCCAAGCTGCACAACGCTGCTCTCCTGTGACAATGTCCCTCAACAAGCTTGTGCATGGCGATAACACCCATACTGCGACCCTGCTCAGTGCGATGAGTCCATTCGGAAATATCCTTAAAAATAAAAGTACAGCAAACGACTTTCGGGAAAGACGAAAAAAAAAACAAAAAAAACAAATGGCTAACAATTTTTTTTTATAGTATTCGGCAAGTCTAACATGCCAATGACACAATCCTTGTTTCAGATTGTTACTCTTTGGCTAACAGAACGCTGTTCTGAAGTACAGGGTGAAACACAAACACAACAAGCTAATCGGTCCACAAACATGATAATGTAATGAGTCATAGTGCTGCTGTAAACTTCTGCAACTAGCATTATCATGAGTATAATCATGGATTCACAGTACAGAGGCCGAAGGAAAAATACCCAAGATCTTTAAGGACAAACAAAACTCCTAACTGAAATATAACAGCGGGAACATGCGTGGGGATGAAGACTGATTATCGTCTTCAGGCTATCACCTGACAAAATTTTATCCATTGTTCCTAATGAATTGGAAGCTCCAAAGGTGAGCAGTTGAGCGCCAAAATCTACGGACATTTAAGTAGCACATGCTTGTGTACGATTAGTCATCAGTGGCAAAAAACGGTTCAGTAAGAGGCAGAAAAACTGGCTGGAAAAAACGGCTGCAAGCTTATAACCGTATCTGTGGTAGATGATATTGCCAGGAATTGGAATGATGCAATCCAAAGGGAGAAACATTAGAATGAGCAGAAAGTGGAAACAGCAAGCAAGTAATTGTTGGATTTTAACAAGATGCCTTTGACACAGCCTCCACCAAGGGCTATGATCTGTGTCCTAGTGCTGCAGCTCGAAGATTAGCAGGATTAGAAGCACTGTGTCTGATGGTCCACAGGGATCTCACAGTCCTGAAATGATTCTTCTAAGGCTCCTACCCTTGCTGAATCAAGAGTGGTAAGAACTTGATCAGATTTCCTGGGGTCTGGAAGGCTGAATACAACATACCATTGAGGATAAAAGTAAGCGAACGCAAACGTCCAAAGCTGAGGAGTAAATCAGCACATTCCTGGGGTTGGAAGGGGGGAAAAATATGGGATGAAATTCTACAGTGTATGGGGTGGTGCCTTATTTGCGTGCGCTCCTCTTGGGGGGCACATAAAATTGAGTGCAAGGTAACATTCAGGATCCTGCCACCTCAGGCTCCAAGGGACACCTTAGGAGGGGACGAAATCGCACACCTGAGTGCCACGTTCTATTCTGTTTGCATCGAGAATACTCATCCCCATGACTGTAGCGCCATCTCCAAGCATGACGTCACCACGTGACACGGGAGGGACAGGAAGGAAGACGGAGTTTATTTAGGTACAGTACAGTGGTGGAGCTGGGTTTAAGAAAACGGCGCAGAGGAACCGAAACAGACAGACATTTTTGGCTTTAGAGCAACAAAAACGTCCAGAAAGACCGGAGTGGCAGCAGGGCTGGGGAAGAGCTGCAGTGGAGTGTAGGATTCGGGCTCAGCGTCTGGGCACAGGTTCAGTCTAATGTAACAGGTTCTACGCCATAGCTGAAGCAAATGTACGAGTTTATCACCCAACTTTGTCCCTCCCTGGGAAATATGTCCACAGCCATAAATACGGCATATCTACATTTAGAAATGCATAAAATACTTTCAAGAATCATAACATTTTATGTTATATGAGGAAATGCTGATAAACTAAATCCCAGATGGGAAGTTCACAGTAACAAGCTCCTTTCTTTAAATTTCTTTAATTTTTAATTTCTTTAAATGCCCCCCCTTCCCTGGCCTAATTGTCAGTTCATAGTATGAAAGACCTACATTGTGTTCAGTTGCCTAATAATCCAAGCCTTGCTGCTGCAATGAGCAACTTCCAAACGATACACAGATCTGCCCGTAATGTCACAGAATCAGCAGAATTATTCTAGAGTCAGACTTCAGACGTTCAATCGCTGACACAGCCCAATTTTTTCCAGTATTTTCCAGTTAAGTAAATGGGTGAAAAAGATGCAGGTTTTTTCATGCATTATATCCTGCTGTTATGTTTTCCTCAGGATGTTGCAGCTGAACTGTTGAAAACAAAAGAAACGGCCCTGGCCAAGCAGCACTTAATGCAGCCCAACGCGAACGCCTTGCGAAAACATCAAAGTCAGCTTCGGGAAGCATAGCTCGCGTGCAGCAGACCTTATCGCCTATACTTATCAGCGCGATACAGAGGGCAGCCTAGTGCATTTGTAGCCAGGTAGACCGGGAGGATCTTCCAGTTATTCATAAGATCTGGCTCTCCACAGTCACGTGAGACATTTCCGTGTGACCGTTATATGGCATGTTTGTGTCAGCAGGAAATCATTAATTCTGGATTCTTGAGATAGTGGCTAAACTTGTAGCAACTGGAATTATGTCCTACTGCAATATAGTCTAGCGGCCAGAAGTTCAAACAAACATGCAAAGATTGGGCTGGACATAGAACTTTGCAAGGATTTTGCTGCAGTTCCCATAGATAAGCAACAGAACAGGTTCTATAGTCGTGGAACTAGGCAGAAGACCATTAGTATACATTTAACACAAATATGGCTCTGCAACCTAACATATCAGTGACATCAGTCAACAAGTCTGCCCTACAGTTTTGTATAAACACTAGACAAACAGAACCGGCCTTATCAAACCACAGCAGTTCAGCGAATGTAACCTCTGACCGGCTCCCTGGGCCTAATTCCAGGTTCCTTCTTGGTAGGACAACAATGCAAAAGTGTAACATTTAGTATGAAACCCCAAGCTAATTTAAGCATAACTGTGGAGAAACATAACCCTGAGGTAATAATTCTATTTTTGTCCTGTTGTTTTTTCTTTTTGCCAAAGTCAAACTACTGAGGAGTTTAAGCAAAATGAAAACTATATAATTCTACATGACCAAGGCAAGAAAGGATTAGGCTCATGGGTACAGTGGGCTCAATTCCTACTCCCGGTTCTGTGTAAATATAATTTTCACGTCCTCCCAGGCACTTTGGGTTCCTCCTTGCGATACACGCGGTGTTACTTTTCAGTAAATTTGCTCCGAGATAGAAATGATCAACAGGATGCCAGTCTGACTCACCAAGACCCTACATTGGTCAGGAAGTTATGGAAGATGCTTCAAAATGTAGCCACACGGTCTTTTATTGTAACTTATGCAGGTTTGAAACGGCACCATTGTGTCAAGTCATTGCACATTGGGTGACCTCACCTAAAAGGGACATATCACACTGCAACCCTAAAAAAAAAATTAAAAAATCCAGAAGTCAGACCTCCTGATGTACAAAGGCAGAATCACTGGGCACATTGTACACGTCAGCAGATCAGGCATTATATTTTTATATAATATTGCAAATGATTTAGGAATTTGCTCTCACATACATGCAAATAAGTTATAAATAGCTCACGAAAAGGAATGAAGAGAAAGGAGAGAATATTATTTTGCATGAACAGTGACTCAACAGGGAAAAAATGTTGTGGCAACCATTTCTTCTAG